ATTCTGTGTCTGTCTTCCCAACACTGAATGTTTAACCATTTCAGTAAGTATTTCTGACTTTGCTGAAAAACATAAGTGGAAAATACTTCATGAATATAAAATTTAACAATTATTTTATTACTTTGGTTTTGTACACAGAGAAAATTGTATTTTAGATGAGAATGAGTTTTCTTTGAGATTGCTTTTATAATCTGTACAGCTTTCAGAAACGAGCACATGTAAAAGTTTTCTTTTAAGCCCTGAAGCAGATGACACCAGCAAAAACCAAGCATTTAGTATTAAATTACATGAAATATGGAGGATACTTTCCATCCAGAGATTTTCATTGATTTAGATTACATCATGTAAAGGACTGGAAAAATATTATTTGATTACTATCATTGCTCTGAAATACAAATGTCTATACAGGCAGAGCATAAATGGCTGTCCTTATAAATACTTCTGGAGCATTTTCCTTCTTTCATCCTGGCCCTTTCTCTGCGTCAGTCACAGCAGAATGATTTCCTGATGTTTCCCTAACGCAAGTGAACAAACTATGAGAAAACTTTATTTTATCTGCAGTATTTCAAACAGTACAAACAAAGAAGAAAGGTTATGACAGTTTATTCCTATTTTACATCAAGAATTTTATCCATTTGAAGATTACTCTCATGGGCAGTCAGTTTTTACCTTCCTCTCCATGTCGAAGTTATTTGAGCATGCATTCATGCGTAGGTTCATTCCTTTGCTGGGAACTGTACACACAGAACAATCAAAGCATAATGTGCCAAAAATGCTGGTTTGGGTTTATGCCATGTCACAAATCCTGACTGAAAAAGAGAGGATCTATATCTTAAATGTTCATTTTCTTTAAAGAGGATGCTTTCATTTTCTGAAATTCTTTTGTAACCAGCTTAAATTTCAAAGAGATGGTGGGCTGTCTTTATCACATAACTGGAATAAAAGAACAGCTTTCCACATAGATGCTTATAATAAATCATCAAGATCTGAGACCATTCCTGACTATTCATCCTAAATATCCTAGGGTTAGCATGGTTAAAATGAACTCTGCAAAAGAACAAGAGAAAGCAGGGCTCTCTGTAGGGAAAAAAATATATATATTATATTATATATTAATATATATTATATATATTAATATATAATATAAATTATGTATTATTATTATATATATATGTATTCTAAAGTTAAACTTTGACAGAATCATTGCAGCTGGAGGGAGCCTTCTGAGATATTCTAATCCATCCTCATTGATCAAACAGGATTGGTTAGACCAGATTGTCCAGGACCATGGAAATTCCACAACCTCTCTGGGCAGCCTGTGTGTTTGGCCACCCTCATCTTTCCTCCTGTCAAAATTCCAAATCATTGCATCCTTAGCTGAGTAAGATGTCTGTAGTTAGTGGGTAAAAGAAGAAAGATAAATAAGAGCAACAAACCCTTCAGGTCTTCCAGAATTGTAGAACATTTTGGGTTTGAAAGTACCTCAAAGATCATCTAAGTTCTAAATCCCCCACTGCCATGGGCAGGGATACCTACTCTGCTGCCTTTCTCCTCCCCTTGGGGGGAAAAAAGTGTGAAAAGTAGAAAAAGTAGAAATGACATCTTTATTGAGGTTGAAACAGCTTTTTCTTCCTCTTTTTTGTCTTCTAATATTTTTGTTTTCTTACCTTTCCTGAATGTTGCTGGAAATGCCTGCACTGGCAGTAGGACACCAGGTGCTGCCAATATTGAAGTGTGTCCACCGTGCTTTATCTGATCTAAACAAAAGCACCAATTGCTGAAAAAAATCATTATAGAGAATGTTTGACAAAGAGTTCTATCCCATTGTTTTCAGCTTCAAAGGTTTGAAGTCACCACCAGAAATTCTGGACTGTTTCCAGCCTTTGCAGTCTTTGGAAGTGTGTCTCTTGCTGATGGAGTACTTCTCCCATTGTACTTTTGTGTGCTTCTGGTTAATTGGAGATTAAACATTCTGTCACTTCCATGGTGCTCAGGAGATAACATTTTCTAATTTTGCTCTGCAGTCCAAAAACGTGTTGGAGTCAGTTCACTGAAAACCTCAAAGCACAGAAGAAAACTTTCATGTGGTGACATCTTATTGACAGCAGCATTTGTGTCTTACTTTGGACCCTTCATAAGACAACATCACCAGGAACCAAAGGAACATTTCTGGATTCCTTTTCTAAATGTACACAAAGTAAAATTTGAACTTCAGATCTGTATATCCAAGTGCCTAATTGACAATATTTGTTTTCCAGGATATGAACATATGTACACTTACATAACTTATATATATATATATATATATATATATATATATGTATATATATATATACACACACACACACATATATAGTGTGTGTGCACACAGGCATACTTTCCTCAGATTACAGGTATCTCTTGAGGGAAATGAAAGAGAGAGGTTCTCTGGCAGAAGAATATCCCTTCCCTCACTGCCAAAATCTGTTCTTTGTGACACCTTTGTAACAGCAAACGCTGTAAAAATGATAGAGCTGTACAGAGAGATCTATTCTGCTTAGCCTCTCAGCTCCAGGAAGAGCATGTAGTTATGATAATCCGCATTTTTCTGCACATGGAGGAAATCATGAGAGTACTCAGTAAATGCATAGTAGTTCCAGTCTTTGCAGTAGTCTCTGCTAAGCTTTCTCCTTCCTTACTTTTGAAGCTTTGGACCATTCTTCTATTCCTTAGTGCAAATGTTCTGCACCCCTTCCTACTTGTTTCCTATTTCTTATGTGCATTATATGATGATTAATGTCATTTATTCTCAGAAATATGTGAAATGGGCAGCACTTACCTCATTTTCAATCACAGATCTATGACACAGCAGGTGAGCTGAGTTATGAGGACCCTCTGGAAACAGATTTAATGTCAAATTCGAGTTTCCAAGGTCAGCACTCGGAACTGTGGGGACATCTCTTTGTAGACATTTGCTTTGTGCTAGAGTTTAACAGTTGCTCATTTGTCTAGAGCTTTGCTTTACCTGGAACCTCTCACTGTCCTTTTCCACCAAGAACTTGCTCGCAGATAAAAACCTTTCTCAGAAACCTCCTTCGACTTTACAGCCTAGGTAGAAAAAATTGCCCTGTATATTTTCAATAGTAGGACTCTGGAAATAAATGTCATTCTTAATTCTTTTAAGATTCTTCTGAAATGGATTGAACATTTTTATGAATAAAAATAAACCATACTGTGATGTTTTGCTTTTGCAGATGCTTTCACTGAACAGCAGTGAGACAAAATACCTCGTTTCACTTTTGTTTTCCTGCAAGTGAGGAAGAGTGGAAAATAAGAGACAAATACACTTGAAAAGTTATGTTAAAATAGATGTTTATTAATAGTTCTCTACAGGAGGAACAGCAAGTAGTTCTATGTCATTAAGTATCAGCAGATATGGTGACAATAGATGTACCTATATATTCAAATATTTGTGTGCATTGTGTGAAAATTAATATTAGGAACACTGATAATACCCAAGTGCTATTGTTTTTCACAAGGAAGTATTTGAGATCATGAAAATTATTGTATTGGTTATCTTACAGTCCAGAGATAAAACAAATCATATATTCATCTTTTGATATATTTAGATGAATGTGTTACACATGGGAGATAGATATATTGCATGCTTACAGAAGGAAGTGTATGCCTGCTGGGAACTTTGTGCTTGTATTTTCAGCACATTCATCAAAAGTTAGGTTTATTTTGGGGTCAGGGATTAGAACCAAGAGTTAGACAATTTAAGGTGGTATGTGTTCTGTAATACTATGGTAACTATGACACTGTGCCACAGAAGCTGCACTAGAGGTACAATGCCAATCTTATTACTAATAATTGTGCAAATTTAGCTCAACTTAAATATGTGTAATCTTTTTCATTATAAATCACTGTCAGATATACATGGGGATTGTTTTTTGTTTCAGTGTGCACTTTTAAAAGAGGTTTCAGTCTAAAAGCTAGCAATGAGGACTAGACACATCCAGGGAGAAAGAAAAATTTGATGGAAGATTTTTTAAGATACTTCTGAATGGGGGGAGAAGGTAGTTCAGGTTTAATATTGATGATGCAATGCTTTCCTTTATTTATGGCTTTTGAATTCAGTCAAAAAATCACTGATAAGGAAGCCTGGCATAACATCATGAAGGACTTGGTGGGGTTTTGCCCTTTGCTTCAGTAAGGAAAAAAATTAATTCCAGGCATCTGGTACAGTTCTTCTATTACACTTCCACCAACCCTTCTTGTTTGTTCCAAACAACTTATTTATTCACTCTCTCTTATTCTGTTGTGCTGCGTTGGGAATTTCTCTTCCCACCCATACCTGTTTGGTAGGCAATGGTTTCAGACATTCCATTTCTATTTTATTTCATCTCCTTGCAGGTGCCTGTGCGGGGTTGGCACCCAGCAGGTGTGGCTGTGAGATGGCTGCTCTGTGACAGCCCCCCCAGCGAAGGGGCGCTCACACGAGAGCTTTGCTGCAGCTGCTGCCCACAGGGAGCTCCCTGGCTGCCTCTGCCCCTGGAGATGGCCCCATTCTCTGGCTTTTGAGGGTAGCTGAACTATATTAATAAGATGCCATGGGAATCCTGCATTAATAATTTTTTTTTTGTGGATAAATACTGATTTATGTTCCAGAAATAAGTGCTCAAAGCATACAGAAGCATTGAGTTTGCAATATCAGAATACAATGACTTTTATAATATATGATGCATTTTTAACTTTATTGAACTATAAATATTTTTATGAAGTAAATGTCTTAAGAGAAAACACTTTTTAAAAATCTGTTATAAATATGATAAACTGCTCCTCGTCACTTTCCTTTCATCTGAAACTCCACAGGGATCCTCCTTACTTTTCTGCCTTACTTTCATTTATATCCCCCCAGTTATCCGGTGCATTGCACTGAGTCATGTCTTGCTGTTTGGTAACCTTGCTGGAAGATTGTATTCCACTCTGATTCTAAGGCTCCTTTTTTTCTGTGACAGAACGCCTGGACCCGATTGCCACGTTGAGGGATGATGCTACGGCTGTGGCATGGAGTAACGAGGGCGATAGGATGGCAACAGAAAACACCACTGCTCTAACAAACTGTGAGTGCTGACCTCTGATGATAGATCCCCAGCAAGAGGGAATTAAATGGGAAAAGAATAAATATGGAGCTGGCCTTAGAGTCGTAAGTCTAGGACAGAAAGGATATGTGCATGATGAAGAATTGGCTTTTGCGTTTACTGCCTTCAAGTTCCCCTAATTTCCATAAGGGATTTTTGTTGGAATGCACTTACTTAAAGAATTGAAATATTACAACAATTGTGCTCATTTATTTATAGCATCATTTTCCTTTTAAAATTGTGCTTGAAAAGGTGCCCTTCTTATGCTGTTTTCAAGTGATGAGGAGGAAATGAAGTGGAGGTTGTTGTGCACTTCTTGTGTGGGTCAAACCACGTTTTCAGCAGGTAAAGTGCAAAGCCTGGTGGTAAAACCTTACTCATACTCTACAGTTTGGTCAGCAGACCACATCATCTGCACCTCACATGCATGTGCAGCATTCAAGGCAAAAGCCAATATTGGGTCATTTCCCGGTAAATAAACATATTTTTAATTCTTATACTTATGACTGAATTATATGTTAGCTGATAGCACTGACATGTAACTGATCTCTTCATGAATTTTCTTATCTTTACTTAGATTTAGGGAGATAATGCTCCATTTCAAAGGGTGTTCAGTTTTTGCTACTGAATTTCAGATATAATACACAATTACACAGCACACTAAATGGTCATAGTAATGCCTGATTTTTAAAATAGGTCTTAATCATCTAGCCTGTGTGCTCATTTGAATCAGCTCTTTTCCCTCATCTGTCCTGGTTTGGTTTTCGTTCTTTTTCTGACCCTCACAAATAATCATCATTTTTCATTCACACTCAGTAGTACCCTGATCTGTGAAGCTATATTTTCTGGTTACTTATTTAGACCATTATTATTTAGTCCTTTTCCATGCCCGTTGAAACAGATTTCTCCCAACAGATTCTAATTGTTCTTGAAGTCCTTCAAGGAAATATTTATAATTTAAATGAGGAAATACCAAAAGCTGTAACACAATAACATCTATAGATAGATACAGATATAGATATAGGTATAGATACAGATAGAAATATAGATATAGATATATGTTCCCCCAACTTTCTATGTCAATTCCAGTGTCTTCCATGTGGGGCTGTACCCTCATATTTGCTTATAAGAAAAGCCACAGCAATATATGTTTGGTTTTTAGTTTTTTGGGGGGTTTTGGTTTTTTTTTGGTTTTTTGGTTTTTTTTTTTTTTTTTTTTTTTTTTGGTTTGGTTTGGTTTTTTTTTTTTTTTTTTTTTTTTTTGTTTGTTTGTTTTGGTTTGGTTTGGTTTTTTTTTTGGTTTTTTTTTTTAATATGAGGACTAGCAAGAGCATCGGTAGAAAGATTTTGAGCTCAAAACTCTCAAACTCTTAAACACTGGGCAATTCTTTGTGAACAGGTGTCCATGGTTTAACCATGTGCTTTTAGAAAAACCTTGCCATTTATATTATATAAAGGAAATCTTTCTATAACCAGTATTTATCTAATATTGCAGGGGGGAATTATATTTTTCAGGTAAAGTTTTCTGAAGACCACTGAAGGAGCTTTAGCTTTTGATGAGACTGTACTAATTGAAAACATGTGTGACTATTGATCTCATACTTGATCCTCTGCTTGGAAGACATACAGTTAAAAAGGGAAGGTACGTATGCTTGAGTGATCAGAATTTTTCCATGACAACTGGATCTATATTGCTTTGACTGCCACATTTTGCTTAGTGCTTCAACTCCTTATATAACAAATGATTTATTTTTAAAATGCAATGGCCAATATCTGGAGATGAGTGGATATTAAAATGTTAGTATCTGCATCTGATTAGATAGCAAAATTACGTTCTCAGTTTCCAAATTGGACTCAAAATATGATATAGATGTGTGTTTCTCAAACTTGAGTGGAATTCTTTACTTCATTACTTAAAAAAAAAAAAGTAAAATAAGGAGTAGCATATATTATAATTCGGCTCAAAAGACAGGAAAGTATTTCCTTTGCTTGGAAAGCAAGAGGGGAGGTGTTGGAAATGACGGGCTAGATTTGGATTTAACAATATTCCAGCTGCAATATCAACTTAAGAAACCTGTGCCTTCACTATGCCGTAATTGGTTTTTCAGCCACCTCATGAAGTAATGAAGCAGTTTTAAAAGGAAAAAAAAATGCAAAAACAAACAAACAAAAACCCTGGAAAGTAAGACAAATGAGGAAAAACTAATATGGTAGGACACAGGGCAGAAATAAGTAAGCCAGAGGTGGGGACTGTTTATGTTGTTATTGCTGCCAACCACCCATGCATCAAACCAGTGCAGCTGATCCTGGTCACAAATTCATCATGGCAGATGTCATCGTGGTGTTAATGCCTGCTCGTTTTTCTCCCTAAACTTAAAAAGTACCATTTAAAATATTTCTTAAGATCTTATTTGGATACCTTTTAGATACACATTTTCAGGGTGGTAATAGAGGAAATAAAGGAGTTTGTACTAGGTGCCAGAGAATTTCAGTCTGCAATGTCTTCCATAACTTCTCACGAAAACTTCAGATGAAATTGTTGAGTCCTCAAGGCAGATGTCAGTCTAAAGAATGATGTTAATTTGTGGTTGCTCGAGAGTAAACTTATTAAACCTCACTGAATATTTCATCTGATGAACTGAAATGCCATGTTTCTGCTCAAATATGAATTTAAGTCGGAAAGTGTTCTTCTGTTCTTGTTTGCAAGCAACTCATCAACAAGCTAGATTTTTCATGTTGGAGAATGTGATGTTTATTATGCTATAAAGCCAGACATACTCCTGGGGCATTTCTGGATGGATCTCACATGTTAGTCAAAGAGTGGTTAGAGTGCTTGAACAGCTTCATATTGTTGAAAGTGAAAATATGAAAAAAAAATTATAAATAAAGAAGTCATCTTATTTTGCACAGATTGCCCAAGATTTTTCTCCCTCGTTCCCACCCTATATGTCAGGCATTGGTGCCTGCACAGTAAATCTAAGCAGTAAAAAACAGCTCAAATCTCCTTGTATACATGGAGCTCCTGGAAGATGCACTCTTGCCCTACACTGTGAGACCTTGAAATGATCCCCCTTTGTTTCACTTCTCTATAGCTGTATTTGAAGTACTTCAGAGTAAGAGCATACAGCTTGCTTTTCAGAATCCATAGTGAAGAAACTCTACTGAAAATTAGTATTATACTGGTCTAAAAGAGAGATCAGAATTTTCGCAAGGTGACAGACTTTCAAGGAATGGGAGGATGTGAAGGGATGTGAAACAACAGAAAGAAGTTGGATTGAAAAGGACAAAGGCCACAGCAATACAGCTTTGCATTTATTTAACAAGGGCTTCCACATAGCACAATAAAGCTGTGTATGTGGACACAAAAGCAAATATATGAAGCTATTCAAAAACAGGTTCTTGTGTTGAATATTTACATGACCTGGCATTCTGTGTCTGATTGAAGATGCACAAGTCACCTTTGAGGGGCACATGTGCCTGTGTGTGTATAATTATAGATATATATATGCATATATATATATACACACACACCACAGTATATATATACACCACAATATATATGTACCCACACAATATATACCCCATTTATTTCCAAATGAGCAGAGTTTGCCTCATTCTTGATTAATTTCTGTTATTTTTTTATTTTAGTATTTCTGTCAGGAACTTTGAATTTTTTCTTCCTAATAAAGAAAGACTAGAAAGGTATTTGTGATAGATATGGTGCAGTCCAGCAGTTGAAGTTCATTAATAATTGGAATGTTGCAGAGTATGAAGTAATGAATACTAATTACTCCTTTCATGTCTGACAGCACCCCATGGACCAATACATCAGCCCAGACTTTAATTTGGTTCTAGTAATGGTTTCATCAATAGTACATTAATTCTGTGTTTGAAAAGATGTACAGTTGAACCTGACCCACACAGTAGATACCACTGTCATAAAATGGCCACATACTGACAACAACTGGATAATTACAAATAATTAAATCCACTGAGCTTCAGACAATCCTAATTTTAAGTAAAATATATCTTATCATATCAATCGACAGAAAGCATAGCAAGGGAGATTTATCAACTTGTACTCCTTGCAAAGCAAATTTACTAGCCTGTTTATTAGAGAACTTGCTGATCTGTGAACCACATCATAAAAGTACGTCTCCCCGTCCTTCTTTGCAAGAAGGCTCTTATGTTGCACTCCTGGATATTCTGCAACAGCAGCTCTTGGTTTTTGAATGAAGCCTGCAAAAGAAATTCTCAGCCTTGGAGAACTTCAAATGAATAAATTTATATTTTCCTCAAAATCAGCTCACAAAAGGGTGAACTAAAGGTACTTGTTATCTCTGAAAAGCAGACTTCATGCTTAAGTGCCTTAGTACATATTTAGGAGCCTAACAAATTTTGGGTGTTCAAATTTGGATACATTTTTATTTTTAATTTTGGAGCTGCAAAACTACTCAGTTGTTTCTAGTGCACTTTAGACTGTGGCCATATCTTCAAAATGGCTTTAAAATGCTCAGATTTTTCTTAAAATGTTTCAAGGTATTTGGTTTGAGAAGGAAAATGAATAAAATAATAAAATAATTTTAAGAAAATATCAGTTGTAGCACATAGCTTTATGTAAGCATGAAAACCACAAGACAAAAAATAAGTAAAATTTGGGTCCAACGTATTAGCAATGTATGCAAAAATTATTCAAGATGCAAATACTTAGGGGTTTTTTGGAGCAGAAAAACCAAGGCATAAAAGTAAATAGGTACCAACTCTATATGGTGTTGTGTTTTGGCCTTCACCTGCTGTAAAGGAAACTGTGCCATTTAATAGGTTTGGTATGGATGGCCCTTAATATTTGAATTTTTACCTGTGTGTGCCCTATCCTGTTTCCCCAGCACGTCTCTTTTGGAAATCACTGGCTGTGAGCATTAACTATAACAGATCTGTTATTTTGACTCACAGGGGAGAAGATAGAGGAATAAATTCATTGTTCATAAGGCTCCTATTTGCATTTACACAAGGTGTTACACTTGCTGAACTCCTTTGCACAGTCACAGAGGTAGTCATGTCTCTTCAGCTGCAAGATTAGGTTAGGATTTTTAAGATGTCTTGAAGTTTGATTTATGTGCAAATATAGCTTATATGAACAAGTTTCCATTCTTAAGAGGCACGACTATTATTCATGAAGCAGCAAGAAAATTCGCTCAGTTTCTCCACAGGGAGAAGCTTTCCTTGCCTTGAACACCTTGTCAGCTGTGCAGCTTCAAGGCAGTGCCTTTCCCACTGAACTAGTTTGACCAACTTGCACAGTTTGCCTACTGAGATTGCCTAGTAACAGCCCCATTCTGTGCTTGTTTTCACCTGATTTATTCTGCTTCGTTCTCTATGTTACTTGTTGGGGTTTGCAAGTCAGTTCCAGAAGGTTTTAATTTTAAGCAGCGGGAACTGAATGAAAGCTCCTCTGGAAAATGTGTTTTTCCCTCTTTCTTCCTGCTGAAAAATATTGTTTCCCTGTATTTTCCTGTCCAAAAATTTATCACTTATTTCATTCTTGCTGAGCTGATCCAAAACATCTCGCTACAGGAAGCTGTCCCACCATTCTGCCATATAGAGTTATGGTCTGTTTTGGAGAACATCTGCCCTGAAAGGTACACTTTCATTTTGTGTTGCATAAGAAGAAAATGCCCCATAAGAAGAGATGTTGCATAAACTCTCAAGCCATTTCATTATATGAGGTGGTGTTCCTATATTCAAAATTTTTCACCTTCATGAGTTCCTGTCTTTGAAAGACCTAGGCATTGTTACCTAAGGCAGAACATACACAAGGGAACAGCAGATCTTTGTGTCAATCAATCAAATTTGACAGATCAGACAAGATGTTACACATGTCCCAGTCTTCTCATAGCTGAGTGCTCGTGTTACCTCCTGGAATTTATTTGTTTTTATATTTGCTTTGGCTAAAAATATTTTATACTCAGGGCATATATAGGTTTTTTAAAGCTTTTTAAATCCTTTTTGAATCCCTTTATCTACTTTATTTCAAAATCTATGAGAATTTCAACAGGACAAAAAAACTAGTGGGGAGCATCTCTTTTTAATTTACTCTGTTTGTTCTTAAATACCAGGGAGCTGGGACTCACATGAAAGATGCTGTGTCTGTTTCTGGGTAGAGTGGTGTTTTAGTTCCATCCGTTCTGTCTGCTGCAGGTGAGGGAATAGGACATCATGAAGAAAACATTGCCAAAAGTAGAACTTGTCTTTAGAAATTTCTTTGGTGACTATTTTTTGATATTCCTTCTATGATGGACTTCCATTATTCATGCCTATTATGCTGCATTTCTTCGTAATCCAGAATTAAACTCTAAACAGATATAGTTTACTGAAAAAATTAAGTCATCCTACTGGGTTCCCTACCTCTCTGTTTATCGTTGTTGCTTATACTCTTGAACAGTGCAAGAGCAATAACAAAACATTTCTTTTTCCCAAATCTGTAATTAACAGAAAACCTACAACAGCTGCAGTAATAAAACCCACCAAGTCATTTATGTAGGTTTTGCCTTTCATAGGTGATAATCACAGAAATTGGTTATTTATTGCTTCTGTGAATTGAGAACTCCTAAAGGAAATATTTTAATCCAGAACTCTAAAACTTGTTATATTTCCTCACAGATTTCTGAAACACATCATGACTCCCTTAGCAAAGGTTTTTCTTCTGACAAAGCAAACTGAAGGACGTGTCTTTTGTCAGATCTCTTGTTTCATCAATGTGTGTGTGTTTTGAAAGCAAAGCAAAATTGTGTTCTCTATGTCAAGCTCCACAGTTTTGTCCCCTCCAGCTGCAGTCAGTTTTGAAGGCTGTGGAGAGACCATGTGGCAGAACTGGACAGTGAATTCATGTCCACCTGAGAGAGGCTGTATAATCTGAAAGACATGACCATATGGCTAAATTATTGCAGTATTATACAGGCATAAGCCTGGAAAACCCATCTCCAGTATTTTGCATGGCAGTGTTTTACAATATACATGTCTGATGTTGGGTTTTGTAGAATCATGGGTTTCCCAGCACTAGACATAGTAGGTTTCCTTAAGGAATTCACTTAGGCAGCTCTCTTGTCTTCCTTCTTCCTGGTGAAATGCAGAAGGGTCTCAGCACACCATTATGTTTAGCCTATGTCTTATAGCTAAGGGCATGTCAGAAGCAGGCAAGGGTCTTAAGAGCTGAAACCTGTGTTCCTGGCTCTGGCAATACCCTGTGATAGCCTAGAAATAAAGCAATGTTAAAATTTCTACAGAAAGTACTTGTTTTATTCATGTCCTCATGTGACTTTCATCAATCTCATTTTAGGTGTTTAGTGTCTATGCTAATGCAATCACTTTGAAAATTGAGTTAACAAATGCCAATTTGAATTTTATGAAGAGTTCATGTTATAAGTGTTCCATGTTATAAATGTTCTATTGGCCCTTTTTAAAACCCAGTTTTATTACTAATATTTGAATCTCCTTTCTTAGCAGAGAACATTCAAAACCATTGCCGTACAGAAAGCACTGGTTTTAGGCTCATGCGTGGCAAGTGAATCCTGAAAATTGACACACTGTTCACTGGGCAAGTCAATGACAAGGAGTTGTGTCACTGGGTCACACCAGACCAGACACATGGCACACACTGTAGTCCACAAGTGATCCTTCGACTTTTTTTGGTGCTATGCCACAGAAGTAGGAAGGTGAACTTCATGTTGCCTCCCTGCTGGGGCTCAAAATGGCACAGAGTGGCTGTATAGGACAGGCTTCACCCCTCACTGAAGGTGAGGGATCAGGAAATGACAGCTCTTCAGTAAATAAAAGGTGAACCCAGCATAACTCATTCTTTCATCCAACGAATAATTAATTTGGAATGAAACATTTAGTAAATTACCTTAAAAAACATTATTTTTGTTGTTTCAGTTGCCAGCCATTCCCTCTCCTCTAGCCTATTCATTTGTTATAAACACATGTCCCTGCTTAGTTTTTTAGGCTATATATTTAAGGAAATTATAGTAAAAACTAACAATAAACTCATTGGTGTTTGTTTGAAAATTTGCCTAAGTTTCTGGTAAGTTATGGTGATAGACATTTAGCCCTAAGCCAGAGATGCTTCAGTACAGCAGTGAATAATCTCCCTGTGTCTGTTGTATCTATAAATGAAACTACAAAAATTAAGAAATATTCCATGTATTCATTTTATACTTTTGGTGTGTTCAATCATCCTCATTTTGTTTCTTAAGTTGCAGGCACCTAAATTTTGACTTGTATGCATTTGCTATGCTGCTAAGATCATAGAGTACCCATTGTTTGCAATCTGAGATACCTGTGAGGTTTTAATTTAGTGAGATCCCCATTCTTGTGCATTTCATTCTTTCCCAGATGTACCAAGACTGAAGACAAAAAATGTGAATTCAAAAAGAATTTTCATCTCATCCTTCACACTAAACTGGCTAACCCTCACTTACAAGCCACAACTGCAGGCTCAGACCACCTTCATTAATTTCACTGTCACCAGGGGCAGGCTGGAAGACCAGCTGTTGGCTGAGGTTGTTAATGCAAGACTCACAAAAAACATAAGGTAAGGACTGTATTTTGATTTGTCTATTGCCTGCTCTGAAATTTTAAGTTAAGAATTAATATGTCTGTTTGAATCCACTGTACTGTAATTGTTAGTAGCCCATATTAGAAAGATTTTAAGAGTCTGTAAAGTGTAGAAAGTTCTTTCACTGATTTGTTCAAATCTGTGCTCCCAAAGGGCTTGTCTTGACCTAAAGCTCTGCTAGAAATTAAATTTATTGTGATATTATTCCCACACTTCTCTCTACCACTTGGTTTGTTCTGTGCACTGCATTTAATTTACAGAGCAGGATTAAAGCCTTCTGCAGTGCTTTGTGCTTCAGCGATCTTGAGCCAGTAAGTGTAAATAAAATTCCGTGCCAGTCTGTACAAGGGTATAATGGCACTGTTAAGAGCTAGGGCATTTGGTTAATAAATCACAATTTATTCCTGCAAGGATGCAGTTCAGCGACTGCAGCAGTCATACCAATATATAGTATGAGGAGAAATTATAAATGGTTACAGGAAGGACTTTGGGCAGACTGTAATCTATGAGATAAAACATGAAAAAAATATACTGAGGGGTGTGAAATGAATAACAAGAATACCTCCTATTTCTCTAGTGTGTCTTTCCAGTTATCCCATGTAATTAACTAACTTAATCCACAAAGATTTGCTCCACCTGTTTGAGGTACTCCTGCTTCATGCAAGGGCAAACTGGGTCAGGGAGTTTAATCAGCCCTTGAAGAATGAAAGCCATATACTTGGGAATGAGATCTGAAAACAGCTGTCCATTTACCTCTGCATCTGCACATTGTTCCACCTGGGACTGCATGCTTACAAGGCTTGTATCACCCGGGGTTTTGGCGTGAGTCAGAGTCTGACTGAGAGCTCCCCACAAGACTAGTCAAGCTCTTGCACTGTCAGAAGGTCAGTCCAGCAGAGCAGGCTATGACAACGTTTTCCCACTCTGTTTGCTGCCAAAGTGAGGTTCTTCAGCCGTGTGCTATTCTCTGGTTTTCTCAGCTGCCACATAGATCTCAAGTTGCCATCCCTGACAAGATCACCGTCCTTTTGTGTAGTCTCAGGAGGAAGGGCAGTAGGATAAAGTTCTAGTCCATGACAACCTAAACCTCCTCACTTTGGGTGTGCAGAACCTCAGGTCTAGTATACTGGGACAGAAAGTAAACTGGCCTTTCAGAAATTAAATCAAATTAACTGATGTAACTAAACAGAAAATATAGCTCACAACTGCTATAAAACATTATTTCTTTCTGTGGCTGTTTAAACACAGTGTTTTTGTTCCCTCTGCTAGTCAGTCCTCACCAAGAAGCCAGAACAGTTTCATGACTGAGCTCAGGCAGCTGGCGGATGACAGGCTGCTCAGCCTCCAGCTGCCCAGGGCAGTCTCCTAGACCACAGTGAACTTGTAAAGAAAATCAAATCAGCAAAGTCAACTGCAGCGGAAGTACAACACAAGGCAGTAACAATTGAACTGTTTCTAACAACTTAAAGTCACCTGTAAAACGCCTATTCTTATTATTCTATTATTATTATTTTAAGTGTAATATTTCTATAAGCTAGAATAGGAAGAGTCAAATTGCTGCCTTTCCAGAAGGGGCTGTCCTCCCCATATTCACTTTTTTGTATCTATAATATGTAGTTGTCACATGTTTGATTTTTTTTTTAGGTGTTTGAATTAGTACTCATAAAATTAATAAATACCAATATGAAATTTGAACAATTGTATTAATATATGATTGCCATGTTTTCCCAGGTAAACAGGCATATTCCTGCAGAGGAGCGTTATTCCCTAATGGTTGTCTAAGATAAGAAGCTTACTTACTTCAAATATTTGCTACTGCCTGAAAATAAAGTCAGTTTTCTAGAGTATATCCATATTCTTTTCTGTATGGATAAGACTATTTTCGTAATTGTACAGGATAATCATGGCACATTAAAAACAAACAGGACAGCTGTCACCATTCAGGTAGCTGAAGCCAAGGAAAATGGAGCTCAGGATGACACGACAAGAGAGCATTACAGACTGACAGCTGGAAGAGCATCCGCTCCTTACTCCGGGCGTGTCAGCCTGGGCAGTGTCAACCCCACCTGCCAGCTCCCACTGAAGGCAAAAATGTCTCTTGCCAACTTTTTTTTCAAAGTGCAAGAAACAGAATTCTGCCTCCAGCAGCGATGCCTGATACAGTGGTTATTGCTTGTACCAGATGTTGGCATTGGCAGGGCTGCATGTCAGAGGAAAGAGAACATGATGAGATCTCCTGCTGCTCTGAACCACGGTGCATCCCCACGGGTCTCTTTGTTGGCTGCCTCCATTCTGACTGTGCTTTCTGACTGTGCTTGCGAAAGTTTTCCTTCCTTCTGTTAAGCCATCCCACAGGGCCAGGAAGGAAGACTTTGGAGGAATTCTGTGCAAACAATTCCCCATCGTAAACCTACCAAATGATCTAATGCAGTGAGTAAGGGAGATCACCCACTCTAAAATTACCAGCTTGTTCAAGTGAGAGAGTCTCCATGCTGAGTTAAATAAGGAAGCAGAAGAGTATTGCTGTTTGCAGCTCTCACCCCTCGTTTGCTGAAAATTTCCTTTAAAAGCCTCTTTTCAGCCTCTTGCATTTTTCACTGCTTGGGTCAGCTCTTTATGGGAGCCTACAGTAGGAAACCAATTATCTTATGAGTAGTAAAGCAAAAAAAGCAAAATCAAATAAATAAAAATAATTGTACTAACTCTCAGGCCTTCAATGCATCTTCCACAAAGCAAGTAAACAGGTTGAAAAATCAGGAGATATTCAGTGTTGTATCTCTAACCTAAAAGAAGTTGTCACATATTTGACCTTTCTTTTCACAAACCAAGGATTTTTAAAAATTATAAGCTCATTTTCCTGGCCCAAATGGCTTTTCAGGTGAGGAGAAATTTTCGTATTGGTGATGATGACATTTACTGGATTTACTGTTTCTTCTCTGGAAGCTCATGCCTGTGCCCAAACCCTGTGCTTGTGTAGTTTCTTACACAGGGTGTCTGCTACTTCAGTATCAACAATAATTGCAGAAATTCCAGAGATGCTACAATGTGATTATTTTCATTTAAAATGCTGCAATATCTTCATAAAGCTAGGTTCAGGATAAACAGCGTGACTTAGCTGCTTGCACTTGGATAATTAGGGTTTAAATTGATCTGCTATTTAAGTAAGTAAATAATACATATCCAAATAACACTCAGGCCATTGCTTTTCCTTTTCATTTTAGTAACTGTATGCCCTAGAAAAAGTCAGGGCTCAGGTGTACTGGGAGTCAGAGGTGTCTCTGAAGCAACTCTGATGACCTTTTTCAATTTTGTGTGCGGTCATGGTTCTTCTAAGTAGTAAGGAGATAGGACTCCTTGAACTGGATTTCCTTTTTCAGTTCAGAGTTGAACACAAAAGAATCCTGTTGACATTTTAACTACACAGCCATGGAGTATCATTAGAGTAGTTTGGGAAAATTGCTTTTCAGTGCTATATCTTTTTTGTTATTATTTCTGGACACGTGCCTCACCTAGACACTTTCAGATAAAGTCATGCATTCTACCATAATGTTTTTAGTAGAAATAGTGGTGTTTTCAAAGTGCAATTTTCTTCACTATTTGAGTGCCTTTTTCCTTAAACATCACATACTGTATCTTGTGAGGAAATGATGTTTTACCATAATTTGTCCACTCCCCTAAAAGTAGAATTTTAACTCCCTACTGTAGTAAATGTCCCAGACAGGGTTTCCAGTTTTTCATATCTAGATGTTTAACAATAAGCAGACAATCACAACATCAACCAAAGTAAACTCTTATTGTTAATATTGTTTTTTATGTATGTGTGCTTGTGTATATATATATGTAATTTAGTATTTTAAGGCAAGTCCTGAGTCCCTTGGTTGCACTAGGGGTTTTTACGTACCTCAAAAATTATCAGTGTCATCCAGTTTCAGTCATCATGCAAAAGGTACAACATCTGCCATGCTTCCAGGCTATGGCAGACAGATGTGTTCAGAGGGGTAGATAAAGATATTTAAAATCCACCAAGAAATGGAAGAAGTGAGTGGACTCAACATAACCAGAAAAGGAGGAAAAAAGCTCTTTTCAGAAACTAGTAATACTGTTCAGGACAATGTCGTATGCTCTGAGGTAGGAAATCTGAGGATTCATTTTCCAGAGCAAGTGTGTGTGAGAGTAATGCTTTGCATGACAAATTCAGATCTTAAGAAGTAAGCAAATAACTTCTAGAACTGGGTGGTCAACCAGCATTTGAGATCCATTGCTGTGGTCCTTCACAGCCTGTTCTCCTGATGAAAAGTGTATAAAAAGGTAGCGTGGTAAAACACGAGTCACAGCATATTTGAAGAGCTGTGATTGTCATTTCTTTTAGATTGAATATAGGTACCTGAGGAGAGCAGTCACTGATAAATAGACATACAGTAAGCTATCCTCTTAATAACTATAAATGTATTTTTCAGTTCTCATTATGATATTAGAGCTGCTAGGTAACCCCACAGGAAGACAATTTTTCAGATCTCCCTTTTGAAAGTTCTGTGATACCCAGAAAGATTCTGTATGTCTTCAGCTGTGAATACTAACACATTTATTTTCCAGTTGTACTGTTTTTGTCTTTCGGTCCCAAGTGGTGGTCCTATAGATCATCTGCTCCACATCCCACAGTCACCATTTTTACATGACTTCTGAGAATGCAAGCTTGGTCCTAGGTATTTATTTTGCCCAACTGCCCCAGCTTTATGTGACAGTATTGCCTGCATGTAATGAGGGCCTTTTTATTCAGAAGTTGTTCTTTTCTGTCATATGGCAGCTATCCTGCAGGGAAATGGGAAAGATCCTCTTCTCTCTTGCTTCCCCACCTGCTTTCCTTCTTGCCTTCAGTTCACTCTCCTGATGATTTCTCTGATGAAATGACTGTCGGTCTCAGATACTCAAGTCTGAGAATGGTGCAGAAGTACTTATCAAGGCATATCTTTTGTGTTTAGCAGATGTTTTGTCATGTATAGAAATTGTGTGGAGAAAAATCTTGGCTCAAGGTACACCAAAAGCACAACGATGGATTTAGTAAAATGCTAAGAAGAGAGCAGTCCAGCCACTCCTGTGCTTTTCATCCTGTCTTCAGGACTAGACCCACTTGAAGTTCCTGAGACCCTTCATAAGCCTCTTATTTGCTTCTTGTTCAAGGACCACTTAACTGTCTCCCACTAAAGAAAGAACAATTGAGCTCGAAAGTGAAATGGGGCATGCGGGGCTAGAAATGTGGATAAACTGATGTATCATTATATTCTTGTGTGTATGTGCTTCTGCACATGTATGTGTAGTTATATTTTCTTTATTGAACAGTACAAAGCCTTCTGGATTCATCTGTCACTGGGATGGGATATGCATTACTTTGCGGAAATTGGGCACACTTTATTTTCGGCAGAAGATTCAAGTTCCGAAGTTTCTTCCACCCCCACCATATTCATGGCAGTGGGGTGGATGAAAAGTGTAAGGCCATAAGCACTACAGTATGAAGAAATTTTTAGAGCATTCCTCTGCTTGGCATAATGCAGGTTTCCTTTGTACTGTTTTCTACCTTTTGACTAGATGAGGGCCAGAGGGCAATTTTCTCCATGCTCATGTAATCTTGTGCCCCCTGTGACTAAATAATGGTCATTATACAAACTATATTCAATTGTATAGGGCTCTGTGGCTTTATACGTAGGATTACTATTCCCCACAGACAATAGTGAGAATACCAGGTTAATACAGCTGTGACCTCACTGTGCTCAATTTAAGCTCAGGCCCCACAAGGTGAGAGGCTTGTGCATTTACCCACTGAACCAATCAGTTAAAAAACTGATGTGATATCTACCACATGTTGCTCCCTTTTTCATGAGGGAATTGCTCTGTACCCCCCATAAGAGTTTCTAAAGCTCAGTAACAATGCTGAGCATCTATCAAAATGTCAAAAGGTTCATTATCTTAAAACCAAGGGAACAGATTTCTGCAGGCTTTTTCTAATACCAGCAATAAGGCCACTGTTGAGAGCTCGCAATTTTGCTTGTTGAAATTGTAAGGGTTTAGTGAAGTGCTTCAGAGGAAGTAATATGCATTGCACAAGTGATAGTGAAATTAATGGGGGCATTATCATTCTTTTTCCTTTCTGCTCTGCTAATTTTCCCATCTCCTCCCCCTCCATCACTCACCCTTCCCCAATTATTGCTATTGCAGGCAAAAAGCTTGGGTTCACTATAGACTCCGGAAGATTTCATAATATGTCTCTAGGACAAAAGCGGGAGATGGTTGCAAAGGAGGCGCTCAAGAAAGCTGCCCCACATGGCTATTGGGTTCTTTTCCAAGTGAGTGTCAAACTGCCTCTCTGTTGGGGAATACCTCCTCACCTGGAGGGATGTTCCCAGAACACAAAATATGCGGTGGATTACATCAAAAATTCTAAACAATAATAGTTCTAAGCTAATAATCTTGTTCCATTTGCTTTTGCTTTTGGTTGTAACAGGATAAACATCGTATCAATAGGGTTTTTGTCACTTTTTGCTGAACAGTGCATACTCCCAGGAGGAAGAGGAGGGATAACACAGAAAGCCCCTGTGGGTGGGTAGGACTGCCCTCAAGCACACCCTTCCCCTGCCTAATTAAGAGCTCCTATTCCATTCAGCAGGCCATAATGGAGACTTTAATGAAATGGGTCTGACTATCCCAGGGGAAACTGTATAATTAGTCCTGGAGTGCTGCTTTTCTGAGATAGCAGCCACGGCTTTGGCCAGCTTTGTATGGACCAAGAACCTGCTCTGCAGTGGACAAAGAGATCCGTGGGATGCCCTGGCAAGCCGTGGTTTCCCTGCACAGTAACAGAGCGAACAGGAGCACGGCAACTGTAAATGCCACTGAAAAAAGATGCTCCCTCCCCAGTGTTTTATGCTCAGTAGCCAGTGTTTATATGTGACAACCTGTCAGCCCTGAAGCCAAACGGAAGTGCATGTTCCAGGCCTTGACATTAAGGTGGTTATGGGAATGGGGTGGTTCTCTCCTCTCCTGGTTTTAACCTCAGCAGCCTGCTTTGTCTGCCAACCAGGTTGCCTGGAACAAATGAAGAGATGAGTTAGAGTCAGTGTTTTCTGCCAGATGAAACAAAACCACCTTGGGATTAATGAGGGGCCCTGGTGTGCTAGGCACTGTGGGAGCATGCACAAACTGCCCCCTTTGTCAGCAATGAAACTGGAAGTGTGCTTAACCATCTTTCATGTGAGTGAGCTAATCATGCCAGTCATGATTAACCTGCACAGAAATGCTGTGAAGGGAAGAGTCAAGCTGGATTTCAGGGAATGTCAGGGTTCTCAGCTGCTCTGGGGGCAGAATGAAAAAATGGGAGATGGCAGAGGCAGTGTTGTGTCTGAAGCCGCAGGGATGGATGGGGAACATCTGAGAAGCTTCTGGTGTTACCTGCTCCATTTTCTAGCCTGTAATGCCTGGCTTTTGAGGGAGGAGAGAGGCAACAATTTTTGCTGTAAAGGTTGTTGATAGTGAAGGATTGTGGGAAGTCTGAAAGGAAACTCTGTGAAGATGTTGGGCCAAATCCCAAATGGCACTAAGCTAGCTAAAACTATTGGGATTTGGATGCATTTAGTGCTTCTCAAGCTTTAGTCTTCTGCATTTGGATCCTGTAAGCTTATATTTCAAAAAAAAATTTGGAGCAAAAAGATGAGGTATTTTACTGTGGATTTTATTGGAGGCTAGACAGTATATAATTAAATATGAAAAAGAAAAAACCAAACCAACCTACACCTGCTACTCTGACTGACCTAGGAAATACTTTAAAAAATACTTTGGCTTCAGATCTTGCAAAAGCAGTTGGCACAGTCTTCTGCAAACTGGCAGAAGAAAGACTGACTTCAATTTTTTTGGTGTCAGGTAGCACTCTTCTGTCACTCATAAGAAATATCTCAGACTCACATATCTGATACATTGAATGTTTATTTTGTTACTATATTAAGGCTTTAATCACTTCCACTTTAATCACTTGCATTCAATGGATGCAGCCTATATGACAATTCAGGTGCTGCCAGGCTGCAATCATGTCATGTGATATGAAAGCCTCCCTCTCTTTCCATTCCTCTATTCCTTTTTCCATGTGACAAGGGACAGTTTGGGAATATCCTCCCAGGAGACCTCATAATACAGTGATGCAGCAGCCAGGGTGTGAGTGATGTGTTGTATTCCTTGGCTGTAATTCCCCCTGCGCTGCATGGAGATTGCCAGTGCAGTCAGGAGGTTCTGGCACATCAGTGAAGGGCCAAAGAAAAGCTTGTGGATGAACTGCAATTTGAGTTGAAATGTTAGTACCGTAACAAAGAAATGTGGAGTGTGGGCTATAGTGTGTTTAAAACATCTTTAGCCCCACCGCATTTTAAACTTTTCTCGATATTCCTGTTTTTCACCAGGAGGTGCTTTGGAGGCAGATACTTTTCCATTATAACGCTCTTCTCTGATCTGTCAGTGTCTTTCCACTGTCTTCCTGTATTTAGAATTTTAAAGATAGCTACACTCTGAAGTAGCTGAAGGCATATTTCCTGCGCAGCAGGATAGCTGGAACCATTATCTGTCTAGCACTTCTGTCTTGCTCCTGGTATGTCTTGGACATGTTTTGTCCTAGGTCCCAGTTCTACAGGGAATTAAAGAGAATCCAGGTGTCTTCTGAGCTATGCTTGTCTTTTTATGTGATAACACTCATAACCACAGATTACTTAACCCTGAGTTTATAATATTTTCATTAGCTTCAGAATCAAGGCCTTAAATTTTAGAAGATAATGGTGAAACCTCAATACATACCAAGAAATGACAATGACTTAACTGTTACCCCATTAAAAAGTCATAATGACAATGACTTAAGGACAACAAATTTTTTTTTGTTTTGTACAATAACCATATTGGCTGTTTTTCAATGGAATATTCACCTAAGTAGCTGAGTGGTTCAGAACCTTGGACAAACTCCTTGAACAATACAATATGTCATCCTGATTTCTGTGTCTTTATCAGTGCTTAGCCAGCTCCAGCCACAGAAGAGCACATCATTCCCCAAGGAATACTAGAAAATTCAATTAAAATTACTGGTGAACCTCCTACAAGGATGCTGGCTAATTTCCATGCTGCTCTCTATGGTTCTGACCAGGTAAAAGTAAGCTATTTTTTTTTTCCCTTTTGCTTGATTTATTCACTCATTCCTCTGTAGGGGACAAGTGGTAGCATTGATGACCATTCCGTTGGAGACCATCACGTGGGACCGTGATTCCAAGCTAACCCGACAGCTGGAGGGTGCCAGCCCTCTGTACCTCTGTGTTTCCCATCAGTGTTGGGCAGTAGAAAAGGTGTGACACTAACACAAACATTTGTACTATTCAATATAGACATGCACAGGTACGCATACAAAGACAGAAAGAGCATTTATTGCACCAGCTTTAACCAGTGGTGCACTTAGGAAAAAAATCTGTACATGCTCTTTCATTCAATGGTACTCACATATTTTGCTCCGCTCTAAATTTGCCTAAATGCATGGTCATGACCATTCTCCCACAGAGCGGATTTACACACCTGGGTGTTCAGGCAATGGCTCGGTACCCTATGCATGGGTTCCTGCAGTCAGGCATAAAGAAAGGAATTAAAGAGAAAGGGTTATGTACTGTTTGTTTTGTCTTTTGCTCTTTCCCTGTGTAAAGTTCTGCTTGGTGGCTGGAAAGAAGGAGGAGAAAGAAGAGATGAGAATGTGGAGAACAGGCACATCACAGGTTGTGTGTAGTCTCCTTCCCTCCAGATCCTTGGTTATCCCTGTGTGCTACCCCAGGAACTTGCAGAAAGATGTCCAAGCCCAGTGTGAGTCAGCTTGCCTGCAGCAGTGGCAGTGCTGGAGCAGTCAGCTTGTTCTCATCAGCAAAGCAGACCGTGCTGAAGGCAGCCGTAACTGCATGTTTTCACCTTCCAGCAGGGTATTCTCATGTAGCTGCTGGAGCACAGCACACATGAGGGCAGAGCTGGGATGTGAAAAGGGTAAGAGTTCCTTTAAAAAGAAATGCTAGCCAATGCCAGGGGGAAAATAAAAGAAAAAAAAAAAAAGGAAAAAAATCTAAAAAACCCCAGCTGTGTCAGAGGTACAGATGGATTGATTTTGATGGTGTGGGATGATTTGGAAAGATATTTGTGAGAATGGAAGAATAGCTGCGGTTTTGTGGCTGAGCAGCTAACTATTAATACAGCATTTTGTTCTTTTTTCAATTATTTTATAACTTACTATTATAATATTTTTAATGCAAAGCTGAAAAAGCTTCAGTCTGTGTTTAGTGAAAGAATATATATGTATATATTTGAATTAACCAATTTCTAAGCTTTACACTTTAGAGAACTCTCTTTTCTCACCCACTCTTCTGAGCCATAGGTGTTTGTGGCTTACCACAAATTCCTGTACAGGCACTGTCTTTAATATATTTCTGGTTAAGGGTTGGGGTTTTTTTGTTTTTTTTTTTAATTACAATAAGAAAATCAAAGTATGCCTAATCCAAACGGAATACATTTCATGGGTTTGTGGTTTTATTCAGGGTAGAAACTTGTGTTGTATTTTTTCATGGTTGAACTCAGCATTCTGATTTAAGGCGGTATTTTTATCAGACATAAAATCCTTCACCTTTGCCCAGATTCTGCTACATGTTGTTCAGCTCAGGATGATCTATTTCCTTTTGAAAGACAAGAGTTCACTCCTCTGATGTTCCCTCCACACATCATTATTTTCAAGGGTAACAAAATTAATTTTGTTATGTTTATTACTTCTTAAACTGAAGGATAAAATATAGAAAAATATCAGAGGCATAAGGATTAATTTCTGCAGGTTTTACAGGCAAATGCTGAATAATTTTAAAACCAGATGAATCCCTGTGCTGAATATCATCTTGCTGAAATTTTCTGTTAACACTATAAATAATGGGGGCAAAAAGAAAAATATTGAACTTCAATTTCAAACATTTTTTTGGAAATGGTGTAAAATTTCTAGGAGTTTGAAGGCTTTTTAATAAATGTTAAACTAGTAAATTTTCTTCTTGGGATAAAGTCTGTGGATGACTTAGATAAGAAGCTATAGTGGTTATCTGAGTAATATTTATAAACTTCTAGGTAAAGACTCTGTTTTTGTTGGTTTCAGTAGCACAACAGTTCTCCTTTCCTAAGGGACGTTTGGGAATTAAAATGTCACTATCAACAATCTGGGAATTCCTGAAAAAAAAATACTGCCCAATAGCCTCTGATTCTTTAGAAACCTGTTTCTCCCTCTCCTTCCAGCTCCAGCCTTGTGAGTGCTCCCTTTTGGCGGCTGAGGCTGGCACAGCTCTCAGCAACACTCCCTGTTGCTAGTGCACAAGTTACTCCTTTTTTTTCTTTGACAGGGGATCCTTGAAGTGCACGCCAGAGAAGGGGAGTTTAAAAGCATCCGTTTTCCTCTGTGCAATTTTCACACTTCTGTTCCTGGGAGACTGAAGCTTGGCCCTCGGGGCTGGAATGGAAGGTACCAGATCAGCTCCTGAGATCTCCGTGCTCAGCAGCTGCTCAGATGCCCAGCAGAAGGTAGGAAGTGGTCAGGTAGCCACACATCGAGGTCATTTCCACTCAATCACATGTTTATACTGAATAAGGGGGACACAGTTCTTTCCCTGAAGCTGTTATTTAAGTAGCTGGCATTATGTGATGCTGTTGGTGAGTATGAAAATAAACCATGTCAAAGGGAGGTTGTGGTTGGTTTTTTTTTTCTGGCAGTGGATGCTTGAACTTTGTAATATAGGTAAAACCAGTTCCACATCAGTAGCTAAGGGGGAAAAAAATGCCCTTCATTATGTTAACAAAAACAGGGGTTTACATGTGCATATATGCCAAATTCATTAGGCAGGTAATGAAGCATTTGCACAAATGTAATTACAAACAGCAATTCTGACAGTTCATAACACTGCATTAATAATCACTACAATTAGTTCTGATGATGGAAGCAATTTACAGCACGTCACATGTATAAATAATGGTGCATTTCCTGAATGTGTCATTATTATGTATTAAGGATGCCACCTTGTTGTGACTTTCTCAGTAATGTTCCCCTTGAGTCAAAGTTAAGGTTACGAGAGTGATTTTTTTCCTGAGCTACAGTATATTTCATACTTGTATAGTTTAAGTACTGAGTTGAGGTCATTTGTGTAAGTTCTGTATGTGAAAATGTGAAATGTCTAAATAAAAGGCAGTAATTATTTGTTACTGAATGATATAGGATATTATTGAATAGATCCACCCATTTTAGTAATTTAAATAAATTTCAGAGATATTTATAAAGAAAAAAAAGAGACAGAAGTGTCACCCCTTGATGATATGGTTTTCTCCATATGTCCCAGCTTGTATTTACTCTGAGAAATTAATTTTCTTTTTGCCTTCATACCCCTACTAGCCTTTATTTAGTTAGTAGGACATCAAGCTGTTTTCCCTTTTTGTGGTACTTGGTGTCATAGTGAAATAATTGCTTAATTTTATTATGATGATTTAATAATGCTTCCCATTTAGAAAACAAGTCTATGAAATCAGCTTATTCCAACCCTTAGTTTTCTTTGCTAATAAATCTTGCTGCTTTAAGCTGTTCTCTTCAAACCACAATTCATAAGCTGGATAATTCATTTTGCTAATTAATGAGAGGGAGTATTCTGATGGCAGGGAATACTAGAAAGGTCTGTAAGAGCAAGAATTATTTCTTCTCTCCTCTCAGAGAGAGGCTTATTGGTCTTTCTCATTGTACTGCTTAGTGATTCATTACCCCGTGGCTTCATAAGGATTTTTTTAACATAGATATTGGAGAGAGAGAAATAAGACAACTGATTTTTTTTAAATGTCAGTTACCATGTATATATGCATGTCTATGACCTTGTTCATATATACATATATATATATATCATATGCATATAATTTATTGTCCTTTGGGAAGAAGTTCCTGAAGCATAAACTGGGCAGCTTGAAGCTCATCAGCTAGTGGAAATTGCCACGAACCACAATTTTGTTATAACTTTCACCAGTTTATAATGTTTACCTGAGAATATTTAATCTTGTATCTCAGTTCTTCCTGCTTCTAAGACAAACTCCAGCACACCAATCTGCAATAGTTAAGGTCTCCTCATGTGAAGTACAGGATGCCTGGTCCTGCCTCATTGTCCCTCTACCTTCTGATCCCCACACACATGTTCAAGGACTTGTCACTGGATGTTGTTGTGGGGGGAAGTGGATTCTGTCCTCTCCATTATCCACCCACCCTGCAATGGCTCTGGGGTTTTTTTGGGTACAACAGACCAGTTTTGTATAGAGTACAATGGCAATTATGTGAACCTGACAGCCCAAAATATTTCTAATGCAAACTCCGCAGCTTTCTCACACTCGCAAAAATGTCCCTTTTATATCACCAGCTTTGATTATCCCAGTATAATCAATGTCCCAGAAGTGTGCAGCTGAATGGGCTTGTACTGCATTAGAATATTGATATACTCTTTCAAAAGGCAAAGGAAAAAACAATTTCTTGAGATAAATATATATGAAGTTAGAAAAATGTTAAATGAGTTTTTGTTGCCGACAAAGAGAAAAGCAGGTTTATTCTGACTGCAAGATGTTCTGTTCTAAATCCAAGTTGCTGGCGTTTTTCACAGGGATTCTCTGTTCAGCCTTCTCATCACAAGCATGCAGCGCTGCATATTATAGTCCAGTGGCTTTTTTTAATTTTTTTTTTTATTTTCTTTGAACCAGTTTAAAATAAAGATGGATTAGCATTTCACATAATCAAATTGCTGCATGCAACTTTATGTAGCAAGCAGGCTGGAAGAGCTGCAGCTATTTCACTTGTTCTGTTCTGTCACATCATGTAATATTTAAAGCCTATAATTAAGTTTTTACTCGAACTGTTGGAAGGCAAATACTGCCCCCAAGGGCGCAAAGGTTCCTGTCTGCAAAGGTTTCATCACAAACTGGCATATTTTGCAAACCAAAGGGGATCAAAAAGAAGCTTCAAATGCTGTGAAGCCAAATAAAAGAGAAAGACAGTGGTTCCTTGAATAAAATGTTTTACCACCCCTAACCACAAATTTTCTCTGTGGTATTATGACTAGAATTCTACAATAAACTTAATGCTTATATGATGGTGCAGTAATGGGATTAATATTAATTCAATTTCTACCAAAGTTCTTGAATACTTCCCAATTTCAAATAATGTAGAATTTCAGTAACTAAATGTTCCCTAGTGAGGAGATATAAAAGACTGCAATCAGATACAAGTTTTTTATTTCTCCTTCAAGAAAGGCACAGTAGGTTACCTTCCTGTCACTCATGAGGATTATGTTCTTAAAGATCTCTATGGGAAAATACATGCATTTGTTCACAAAGTTATGTTCTCTCATATAATGTGGTGTTTTGAAAATGTGGTTTTCTCTAAAGTTTTTTTTATAAGGGCTAAGGTAAGAAACATAAAGCTTGGATAATGCATTTTACACCATTACTGAATTTTAGTCACAATTTTGCTATTTTTGCTCAGATACCTCTCACTGGATTGAAATAAAAGAAATCTGGTTTTAATGTTATTTGCTGAAAAAATCAAACCCAGCAATGCAAATGTATAACCATGAAGCTTTCTGAAAGGAAGTAGCTGGATTTCTTTTATGTCTCTTAACGGTGTTTATTCAGAGCAGCTTTGGTTTGTCCTTTTTGCAGCTGACTTGTTTTATTCAGGGATGCATTCTGCTCCTCAGGTGGGTTCCACAGAAGACTCCTTGGTGAGATGATGTAAGGTGGCCACATCATGGGTGCCTGGGACTGCAGGCTCTGCTGGATCTGCAAGAATTCCTCAGCCCAGTCCTGGTGAGAACTTTCATGTGCCTAAAGCTCTGGAAAACAGCATGTTTAACCTAAGGGAAAGAGAAGACCACACACTTTTCATCCATCCTGCAGCAAGGTCTTGTCTGGCTGTGGGGGAGCAAATTTTTGTCAATAATTTATCCTGAGCAGATTTTGGCTGAAAGGGTTCGGCATGCTGCTTGTCTACTTTTGCAAGGAACTTGAATTCAGTACTTTGTAACACTGCTTGTGTAGTGAGCTTAATGACATTGGATGCATTTAGGTATCCATTTTCCTAGGAAAACTATTTTAAAGTGCTTCCTTTTAGAAAGTTTTGGGTAGGCGTGGGAAAGTATCTCATATGGAACTGCACTTTAACCAATGTAACTGATAGACTCACCAGTTTCAGCAGTCCAGAACGGCACTATCCTCAGAACTTACTATTTGCACATTTTCTTCCTCAAAAAATAATGACAATGTTATACATTTCCTTGCATCTCACTCTTTCTAAAATAGGGAAAATAGCCTATAAGACTATTTTTAATTTTCCACTACCCTCTCATACATCTGTTTCTGTAGCTTTTTCAGGTTATCACCAGCTGCAATATACTGAATTCTTCAAATTTCATTACTGAGTTTTCATCCTGGACAGCAGTGTATGTGGAACATCCATGACTCCAAAGGGCCAGATTGCCAAAGTTGCTTCTAATCAGCCGCTAATGCTAACATTTTTGAGGCTACAAAAAGAAAATGTTGCTTTAACTGTAGTTCTAAGAAATTTTGCAGGGAAACTGCTTTAATCTGTTTTCATATACACAGTTATAACAAATGTGGACGTTTATACAGGTGTGTGTGTATATATGTGCACACATATATAATATAGATATATACTATATGTATTACATAAAAGTACTTTTTAATATGTATATAAATATGAAAAAACCCTGTCTGCTTCTCCTTAGCTGCTGAAGAGCCACTTTAGAGAACTGATTGTACACAATTTGCTAAAAACAGCCAAGAGATTTTTCAAGTGCCCTTTCCAGACTTGTTATTTTTCATTGTCCAAAGGTAAAAAGCTCATTTATGAGGGGAAAAAAATAAAAATTATCATGTTAGGTGTGATCAGGCCATTTGTGGAGCTGGGCTAAGCTGGGAAAAGTGCCCCTTTCACCCCTGGCAGTGGGTTGAAGCCTGCCTTTTGGCTGTGAGCGAGAGGAGCGGGCTGGTGTCTCCTTGGTCCCGAAGAAGTGGGATTTCATATGTCAAAGAGCCACACTCAGATGAAGGCAATTGGAAGTAACTGCTCAGAAGAAGATGCCCAAGAGTAAGTTGCCATGGAGATGGAAAGGCTAAACACCACTGTACTCCTGACCTCGAAAGAGGCTGATTTCTCCACATGACAGCTGAGGTCGTGGGGGCATGGTGGGAAGCTCATCCTGCTGGCTCCAGCTCTGCCTCTAGCCTATGGATAAGTAAAGAATTACTGCTTTACTACTTTAGGTAGTCCATTAACCTTCACAAGCCTGAACTTTCATTCAAATAATTGCAAAATAAGTATAGGTGGTGAAACCTGAACAGAATCACTGCTATTTGTATGCCCTTTGGAAAGTTTAGGGACCCAACCCTTAGTGTGGATCCACTGGTATTTTAAACAGTGAGGATTCTTTCTTAGCTTCTTGCTGTA